GCACCCCCCAGTGTAGTATGTTGGCTCAGCAGTTTTCAACAATGACCAGAAGGGGGAGCACACAGACAGCTGACTTCCTGGGGAGTTCTTCCTGTTTGTTTCAGAGAACTGAGCTGTGGGCTGTGCAGGGAGGCAGGTCTTGTTAGTGTTGATTCTGAGAGCAGACTGCTCTGAGCGATCCTTCTGTGGCAATTCATACTAGATAGCTAACAATGTCTGGGTAGGGCGGGTCATCTTTGTTGATTTTAGAGTAGAAACTTGGGGTCCTGTCTCTTTTTGCGGGCAGAACCTGTGGTGATGAGGGAAGCAGGCTACTTTTCTGGGGCCACTTCCCCAGTTCAAAGTAGCTGGTGGCTTTGAGGCTGAAGAGAGGGACAGGAATGGTGAGAGAAGCGTTTTTCCTGCCATATGTAACTCACTGTCGATTCATTGGTTTTTGCCTGTCTACAGTCCCCAACTATTCTCCATTCAGAGTCTTTCAAAGCTGAGCACCATTTCCTTGTATTTCTTGTGTTTTTGGGGAGGGTTAGAAAGATGGTCTTTTTATACCACCATCTTCTGAGAACCCACTATTCTTTTGATCTATGAACATGGGATGTCTTTAGATTTATTTAGATCTTCTTTAATTTCTTTCAACAATCTATGGATTTCTTTTTATCTACTTTTTGTTTTCTGTTGCTTAATTATTTCCATAAAAAGTTCTGATTTATAATCCCAGGTGGGAGAAAAAATGAAAGCAATACACTGTTAAGACACATTCTCTGTTCTGTTAGCAGTAGTAGACTTTGGTTAGGAAATTACATTTGGAGGCTATGTTTTAATGCCAAGGACTATTTGACTAAGGATGGTTAAATCCTAGATTTGATTTCCATCAAATAGTTCTGTAGCTCCATTCTTTAGAACAGTGTAAAAATTTTACACATTCTTTGGAAAGTGTAAAAAAAAAAATCGAGTATTGCTCGTCTTGCTGGGGTTGTGTGGATTCTGAGAGGTAGACCAGTTGACTCTGAAACACTAGGCACTATACAATATTCAAATAGAATTTTATTTGATTTTTTTGAATATGCTTAAATTATAAAGAATATAAAAGGCATATACTGATGCTCTCCTCCCAATCTGACCCCCCATCTATTCAATCACCCCTCAATTCATGCATACCTTCTAGATTGTTGTTGTAGTTGTTAGGTGCTGTTGAGTCAGTACCAACTCACAGCGACCTTATGCACAACAGGACGAAACACTGCCTGGTCCTGCAGCCACCTCATAGTCGTTGCTACGCTTGAACCCATTGCTGCTGCCACTGTGTCAACTCATCTATTTGGGGTCATCTTCTTTTTCACTGACTCTCCACTTTACCAAGCATGATGTCCCTCAACTGGGACTGGTCCCTTCTGATAATTTAATATACCTGAAGTATGAGAGACGAAGTTTGGCCATCCTGGCCTCCAAAGAGCACTCTGGCTGTACTTCTTCCAACACAGATTTGTTTGTTCTTCTGGCAGTCCGTGGTACTTTCAGTATTATTTTCTAATACTATAACTCAAATGGATCAATTCATCTTTGGTCTTCCTTATTCATTATTCAAATTTCGCATGCATATGAGGTTACTGAAAATACCATGGCTTGAGTCAGGTGTATCTTTAGTCCTGAAACTGACATATTCAACAGTTTAAAGAGGTCTTGTACAACAGATTTGCCTGACAAAATATGTCATTTGATTACTTGTATACATATATAAAAAACCAGTATAAATATATTCTTGATTTTCATCAATAGCCTTAAAGTATATGTCAATATTTTAGAAGAAATAAATTGATAGTGTAAAAAATTGGCAACACTTTCCCTTCCCCAGCTCTCTCTACTCAGCTGAGTTAGATGAGTCATCACAGTGACCACACAGAACTCAGACCCCACACTCACAGTTATTCAGGGGCACAGTCTTCCAGTCAGGAGAGCCTCTCCTGCTATACCCACAGGCAGGCCTCTCTATGCCGGGGCAACAGAGATCTCTTAGAGCCGCTGCTAAATGCCCACAGAACACACCACTCCACCCTGAGCTTCAGCCCGTAGGTACTGGACTCTAACTCCGTGGGTCAGCAAATCTAGCTCTCCCAGTTAAGTGCCTTGAGGCACCCACTCTGCAAGCAAGCCTCCTGCCCAGAGTCACTCAACTTTACTTGTTCCGTGGGCTGGGAAGCCTCCTGCTCTGCTTCTTGGTGCTGTTGCTACTGCTCTTCTGCCACTCCTCTCATGTCACAGCTTTCTGTCCCTGGATCAAGGAGTATCCGTGTGCGGAGACCTCAGGCTCCAGAGGACATGCTCCGCTCCTGCTGGCTCTTTGATGATAGTGAGCTCCCCCGCCTGCTTCTGAGATGGCTAATTTTATGCACATTAGAGTTCCAAGTTTTTATAATCACAATGAACTTTGTTAATCACTCAAACTGAATCATATAATCCGATCAACATATTCTCCCACTTTATTTTACCCAGACCCAGCAAGGCAAAAATGTTGTTTGGTTGGAAATATAGATTAAGGCTGGAAGAGACATTAAAGTAGCTTTTTAAAAAATGTTTTATTGTGAATTATGTGATAGTTTACATGGGAAAGCATTAGCTTTACACTCATCCTGTTGTGTATCGTTTCATTGCCATGGGTACAATCCCTCCATGCATCATCAACCAGCCAAAGGGTACATACCCTGCAAGCCTGCCCCCCGGTTGTCAGCACACAGCCCCTCTCCCCCTCTGGATCTAGAGTCCCCAGCTGCTCCATCTCTCCACATCATCGTCTCTGCCTCCATTTCTGTTGTCACTGCTTCTCTGGGTAGGGTCTCGCACTCCACTCTTCTCCCTTACTAGTTCCAGGGACTGCCGCTCCTGGACTGCATAGTCAATCACTCCCCTCCTTTTGCTATAAAACGTCTACCTTTATATTTCCAACTCTCACAGTCAATTCTGATAACAATTATTCACCATTGTACCATAGAAACCTATCCCCATCTCCTTTCATTAGCCCCACCAGATAGATTGGATACTACTCAGTGGAGATTCTACCTTCCTCCATGCCCTCTGGATCTAGGCTCCCTCTTGAAAGCTTGTAAGCCAGTCACTTCTTG